CCAGCCACAACACTTGGTCAGTTAAGGTCATCTTTATGCCAGAATAATGTTCATGGCTATCACAACACTTCCATTGGTCAGTAATGGTCATCTCCATACCTGTATGTGTCCATTCCATCCACAGCATGCAACTGTGCTGGTCAATACAGGATGTATGGCCACATCTGTACAAATGTCCAGACCAGTGGTCAGTGTGCGAAGGAGCCGTCCAGTGTGGTAATTGTAAAAGTAAGTGTCACCATCAGCACTGCCACTGACCACTAGTGACCCATCTACAGACAAGTCAAATCCAACTGCGTAGCCGTTCCCCTGTAGTAACAGATGAGTTAATAAATGTTACTTTTGTACATTTGTTTAGAGTGCTGGAGATATAGTACCACATATTTGATATAAAAGTGTGAGTACCAAATTTGTTCTACCTTTCCACAGAAACTGAACCAGAAAATGATCATATCTAACTTGACTCCTTCGGTTATTTATGTAATTAAATCTTATCTGAATTGTTGGTGATGCATATTTTACTAACTGTAACGTATTCTGTCTGTATTGGGCTATTTGTCGTGGTTTCCAACATGCCTTGCTAAAATTTCCTTAAAATGCCCTATACCATAATCTCTTAATTAATACTAATAGTAAGTTACTGTGAAACTTAATTCACTTAATAATTGCTTATTACACTTTCAATTATCTTGACCACTACACACCAAAGAAGTGAACAAGTGGAGTTTTACCTTGTGACCCTGAAAGCGCTTGGCCTTGTTGAGTTTGTAGGGCTTTTGTGTAGAGAAGATGGCTATGTAGTCGCCATTAGTTTGAGCTAGGAAGTGGCCCTCAGTCGGGTGTAGCTTGAGCCTTGTACAGCTGTATCGCTCCTGAGAGAGGAAATATATAACTGATAGCACTATCATTATGTAACATCGTAGCCAGTATCATTTGTGATTTTTTTAAGGAAAAAGATAAAATACTTACATCATATGTTATCAAATATCATCCAAATAAAGTGTAATTACCTTTTTAACAAGACAAATCTTATGAAAAATAAACTTATTTTTCTCAAAGCTACAAAGTCATCATATTTCTGTCAAGTGATCAAGTTTTGGTTGTTGATATATAAAACTGTAACCTTGTTCAGTTTTTGGTGCACTGAAATATTGACCTTAATCATGGAGAAACATGAATATTTGTTTCACTAAAATCAATGAAAGTATGTATCTTGGAAAACACAATATTCAAATTTCTCTTAACTATAATGGAAATAACTATCACAGCAGACAATACAGGTTAGATCGGGTATTTTGTGTTGCAACACCTGGTGTGTCTAATTGGACAAGGGTATAGAACCCTTAACAGGTGTACCTGGTGAGACGGAGGGACATAACTGTGGGCCTGGTGAGATAAGGGGAGGTAACCACTGCCAGACATGGTGGTGGATCAAGGGGAGGTAACTTTTCCTATGTTTAATCCAGTGAGGCAATAAGAGATAATAACTGTTACCTGGTATATTTGGTTGGAGAGAACCACCCCACTACTGAAATCCCAAGCCATCAGGTTCCTATCAGCAGAGTCACGACTCAATAAATCACAGGATGAAAACATGCTGCTTCCATCAGCTGAAAATATCACATCTTGGACCTACAAAGAATAAATAAGGAAATACAGAACCTAAAAATGATTGCCCACAGTTTATAGCATTAATAGTAGTATTGTTGTAAAAGATGTGTAAGTAATTTAATGTGGTGTCTATTGTTGTGTGTAATCACTTTAGTTACATGGTTCATCAGAGAAAGTGCTGAATCATTTACTTGTCTGGTCCATTCTATTCATCCTTTTGACACAGATGTTTTGAACATTTTTGCCAAATGAATCCATGCAAATTTTAAGCTGTTTATTTTATAGAATTTAGTAAACAGTATTTTTTCAAATGAAAATAACAATAAAAAAATGTGAATTCAACTGAGCTTTAATATGGTTTAAAGTGGAACATTTTACGTACTTAACGAGTTGCTCTATAT